GGAATGGCCAACCCACCATGGTCATTTGTCAGCAGCTCTTCCCCATGTTCAGCAGAAAACAATGAATGTGTTGGTACTCTTTCTGAAGGCAACAAAGTCCGGGGACCTTGGTATGGTAGGAGTAGGGAAATGTGGGCTCACAGTTGAAAAAGGGGACATAATACACTTGAAATGTTGAGCTCATAGATTGCCTTTCTGCTAGTCTAACAGCCGTGGCTGAACCAGGGATTCAGGGTCAGTGACCGGAAGGGTTAGAGCTTAGGGAGAACCTACTCCGAATTCTCCAGGGGTCATCACGTAAAGTCAGTATTCCCATCAGTTCAACCTGCTGAATGGTAAAATGTCCAGCCAGGTGTGCAGTGAAAACTCAGCGAAGGGCAGTCACTGTCCTTGTTCTGTGAGGAAAAAAACTAAAAATAACCAAGACAAAGCAGTTCGATTTTGCTTGTATGTGCATTAGGAAACTTCATCGCTAAGTTTTTATTTGGGCAGACATTGATGGCACAATGGAATTGTCTGTCAGAATTACACACAGTGCAGTTAGTGGTGGTAGACTATTGAGTAGAAGTGTTTTTTTTGTTTTTTTTTAAATCTGGATTTTCTTTGGTATAATAACCTTAAAATGTGTCCTTTGTTCCTGATTTTCTAGTGTGGTTGGTTTTAGAAAACAAACAAAAACCTACTGTGTGTAAACTGGAGCCAGTTTCATTTTTCAAATGAAAAGTTTTTTCTTTTTTTAAAAAAGTCCTTTTTTGAAAATGATTTTTTTGGTGAAAAAATTCAGTGTTTTTGAAAATTTTTGTGCCTTTCACAATTAAAAAAACCCTATTTTAAACACAATTGAAAATTTTTGTTCACCAAAAATCTGGTTTTAGGTAAACTAAAAGTGTGATGGTCATTTTGAATGAGAAATATCAGGGGCAGAATTGTGTAAACACTTTTGAAACCCCCGTTGGGTCTGTTAAGATCCCTTCTAAATGAAAACAATGTAGAATTTTTTTTTTTTTTTGCAAAGCTAGTTTTTCACTTTCAGGCTGGCTCTTGTGATTTCTTCTGAAAAGCCCATTGTATTTTCACTGGTAGCCCATGGCAGTGGACTCTGGGGCAATTGCAGAAGTGCTTGTTTCACCATAATTTCTGTCTGACTGATGCTAAACTGCTGTCAGGAATGCTGAGTGCTCTGGACTCAGGGTTTGTATGGTGGGAAGAAACCATCTTTCTTGACAGCAGAGAGAGAGGGAAGTCCCCCTCTTCCCCTCTCCAAAAAAAGCAGCAGGGAGCAGCAAGAGAGCAATGAGTAGCTGCACTGGAATACCCACAAGCCCCTAGAATCAGTGAGCAGGAAAACCTTGGTTCATCCAGGGTATCTCTTCCCACTGCCTGGGGGCCTCATATCTGATCGTATGTGAGGATTTCCATCTCAACACAAGCATGTGAAATCTATGAATGGGACATATCCTTCCTGTGAGAAGGATCAAAGAGAAGCAAATCTGGGATGCCAGAGGCAGCTGTCTCAGTCTCTTTTCTAGGGTTACCATATTTCAACACTGAAAAAAGAGGACACTCCATGGGGGCCCTGGCTCTGCCCCAACTCCGCCCCTTCCCCAAACTCCGCCCCTGCCCCAACTCTGCCTCCCTCCTGCTCTGATCTTGGTTGGGGGTTGCTAAGTGCTTCCCTGCTCCCCACTCGCCCTGCAGCCCCTGCACCCCCCACCTGCCCTGCCCCTGCGCCTCCTGCCCCTGCAGCCTCTGCACCCCCCTGCTCCTGCAGCCTCTATGCCCCTACCTGCCCTGCTCCTCCTCGCCCTGCAGCCTCTGCACCCCCCGCCTGCCCTGCTCCCCCGGCAGCCTCTACCTGGCGGGGGCTTCAGAGGCTCAGCGGCAACCGGGGCAGCACAGGTCCCTGCAGCCCCGGCACACGCCGCACTCCGCGCCGCCTCCTTCCTGCCGCCGCCGAGCACGTTCCCCGGCCTGTCCCGGCTGGAACAGCTCCCGCGGCGCCGGGGCCGCAGGAAGGGTCCCCCAGTGGCCGGGGGGTCCCCACCCGCAAGGGAAGCTTGAGCCGCTGGCTGGGCCTGGCCTCCCCGTGGTCCTGCGGGCTCGGCTGGGGCGCGCGGTCCACCTGGCCTGCGGGGGCAGCAGCGGCCCCTCCGCCGCCTTCTGCGGCTGCGCCCCCCCCCCCCGAGCTCGCTACAATGTAGTCAGGGCGACTGGGCTGCGCTGCGGACCCGGCGGATCGTGCTGTGGCCAGGCGGACCCTGGCTTATGCCTCCCTATTTCCCCGGACATGTTCGGCTTTTTGAAAATTCAAGAAGGATGTTGATAAATTGGAGAGGGTTCAAAGAAGAGCCATGAGAATGACTAAAAGATTAGAAAACCTGCCTTATAATGATAATAGAACGAGCTCTTTGAATCTTAGCTTAATAAAGAGAAGGTTAAGGAGTGATTTGATCTACATGGGGGACAAATATTTAATAATGGTCTCTTCAATCCAGCAGAGAAAGGTCTAACACAATCCCATGGCTGGAAGTTGAAGCGAGACAAATTCAGACTGGAAATAAAACATTAAATTTTTAACAGTGTGAGTAATTAACCATTGGAACAATTTACCAAGGGTTTTGGTGGATTCTCCATCACTGACAATTTTAAAATCAAGTTTGGCTGTTTTTCTAAAAGCTCTGCTCTAGGAATGATTCTGGGGAAGTTCTCTGGCCTGTGTTACACAGGAGGTCAGATTAGATGATCACAATGCTCCCTTCTGGCCTTGGGATCTGATGTTACACTCCACAGCACTCAGTGCTGGGATGGCTACAAACGATCCAGTCATTAATTCCACTGCTGGTACCAGGACAGGGTTGAAGTGAGGAGAGTTTGGTGTGACACTGTTCCTAGTGATAATTCACACCCTTGTAATGCATTAGGGCTTTTGAAAAGGATGATCAGGACGTAGGCCAAGTTGAGAGTTTAAAAATGTACATAAATCTCCATGACTCCCAGCTTGTACAGAGGTAGGAGACTATTTGCAAGACCTACTAAACCATGGATGTGTCACTAGATCCAGCTCTGTGTCTCCTAGAGGTGGCAATATTAGGCACTCCCTGCCCTGGCCGGTTGGGGTTGCTGTTGTTTGATACTTCTCACACAGAGTCCTAAGTCTCTGCTGTGCGCAACATGGGTGCTGTATGTTTGCACTGACTGAAATAATAAAGAATCCTGTGCTTTCAAAGGACAAAATCTGCATTTTGAACCATGTTAGGCAGTGCTGCACCTCATCATCAGAAAGCCATCCAATAACTGTATTTCCTCTTAAGCTACATCTTCATAATAAGAATGAGAGGAAATGCCTTCCATTCACTTTGAAACAGTCCCCTTGCTCAAAAGCCCCTCCTGGTTAGCAGCCTCAAAAGGCAACCACCTGTAATCTGCTAAAGAATGGCTTATGGTAGGCCCATGTTTTAAAAAATTCCCAAAGCAAATATAGAAATCAAACTAAATACAGCTAGAAACAATCCAGCTAGAGAGGCTCCAGTGCCCTGTAAGTGGGAGATTTTTTTTTTAGATTCAAATGAAATACATCGTGAAATGTGTTTTTTGGGTCTAGTTTTGACTAGTGTGAGTTAAAAGTCAGGAGAGGAAATATCTAGGGGCAGACAGTGAAAACATCAAAGGCCTGCTTTGGGGGGAGCCCTGCTCCAGTGTATACTGAGCTCATCATAATTTTGAGAGACCCTACAGAAAGTGGTATGGATGGTTAAGCCACAGGACTGGGAGACTTCTAGATGGTCAAAAAGAGCAAGATGCTAATGAGGGGAACTGCAACAAAAATCTTTGATATTAAATTTCTTGCTTACACACTTAAACATTCACTCTGGTATATGCCCATGTGTGCCTGTATGGTACTTTGCCTCTGGATCAAAAGATTGTAACTTCTTAGTGCACAGCAAGGCTTGGCTGAGCGCACACAGTCCATTACTCATGGTAGGGAATGCACCCCTTCAGAACAAAAGTTATGCAGATATCCGTACAGCTCAGCTGTGGTAGCTTAGAGTCCAGGGTACTTTTAGGGGAAAAAAAGATGTAGGATAAACAGTGTTCCTTCTCCACCTATGGTGGATGTCCCAGTCTGAGCTGTTGTTAAGCACATAATGACTACTTTGTTTGCTTCACTCCTGCTTATCTAGCTCTGCTAGGTTCTAAAGCACTTGGGATACCCAAAGGATTCTTTTAGATGTGTACAAAAAGGGGTTTTTGTTTTTACCTACTTACAGCTCTGGCAGTGGAAATTTAAATAATTTACAGCTTATTTTTTTCTTCTTAGATAACCCTTGTGCTTGTAACTGTTCTGTAATTGAGCTTTATAGTTTGTGAAAGTCATAGTAAGACTTAAACCTTTTAGAAGGTAATTATGTAAACTAAATGCTGCATTTTATGGTCCTTTGAAGTAGTCTCAGATTTCTGTCTTTCATAACAAAGTACTGGTTTTCAGTTCTTTCTCCTTATTTCTTTCTTTAGCATAGCTTTACAGACACCCTGTTCAGTTCAGCATTGGAGTCCTCCATACAACCAACATAATCCTATTTTCCTATTACATCGCCAGATCATCAAAATGCCGTCGGCACTCCCAGAGCTTTGGAGTTCCTTTATTTTCTGCCTTAAAATTCCATCTGCTAACTACATAGAGGCCGTTTTGAGACTAGAGAAAGAGAAATGAAAATGCACTAACAAAATGAACTCACTTCGACAAAGAATAGACTAATTAATGTTAAAATGATTCAGTTCATCAAAGGAAATATCTGTCAGAACTGATCCCTGTTTAAAGGACAAGATTAATGTGAAATATTTGTCATAGGCATTTTCTGATTGCTTTCTTTTGTTTTTTAAACAAGTTTGGTGAAACACCATGTATTTTTGTTCTTTATTGATGAACTAGTAATAATAGAATGATGTAATCTGTTTGTAGCAATTATGGTTTTTAACTGTTATTTTTATATTCCCTACAGGTAAATATGTCTATCAGCCAATGACTCCTGTGGAACAGCTTCCAAGCACTGAAATACCTATCCAACCTAGGGAATCCACAAACACCATTCAGATCTCGGTCTCACTCACTGAACACTTCTTGAAGTTTGCACCTGTCTTCCAGCTGCCGTTACCCCCTGACTCCCCACGATACTGCACAATTTCCGACCTCTTTATCGACAATTATCGTGTGAAATGCATCAATGGGAAGATGTGCTATGTCCAGCGGCAGCCTCCCGCTGCGCCACATAAAATGAAGCCTGAGGAGTTTGCTGTTCGCAATGCCTTAATTTCAAAAGAGAACAATAAACCAAAAATAGATCACTGCTCTTCCCCTTCCAGCTCCGAGGACTCTGGGATCAATGCTGTTGGGGTTCCCTTTATGGAGTCGTGTGATGAGGACACTGAGGAGGGGGCAGAGCTAAGTTCTGAAGAAGATTATAATCCAGACAGCAGTTGGGAGCCAGAAGAATGCCCCCTTCTGTCGCCCTCGCAGTGTGAACTGGAAGTGATCGAGACTATAGAAACCACCGTGTGACATGCCGTGTTAGAATCAGTCCCACATACACTAACCAATATTGCTTTTATAGCATTTATATTTGCTTTCTTTCTGACAAGTCCTTTTTTCCAGTGCACTTGAGACTTTTCAACCTTCTCACAGAAGAGCAGTAACAAGACTTGCACATCAATGAGTTAGTTATTTGAATAACTAATTCTACCAATTAATTTTAATGTGCTCCCTCACTAATCGGATCTCACATTTCTACATTTAAGCGATGATAAAAAAATTATATTGCTTTTATGACAAAGTGGGCCTTATCTTAGTCTGGGTCGCTTCCTTTGCAGTTAATTGTAACAAGAATTGCACCCTCCTGCTGTTTTCTTCTATTGGGACTTTTATGATGTACTTTCACAGCACAGGGGGTATTACAAAGCAGCATGGGGAAGGTTATGCAGTTGGCCTGATGGCCGAGAACTCTTTATTCTCTCCTTCTGTCACACAAATGCATACATCTATGCCCAGTTTGGAGATCCGAGGTACTTCCTCTGTCCTCCTGCCAAAGGCTCCCCCGATATCTGCACTGGAGAAAGGGGTGTGCTGTGATTCCTTTCAAACCCTATCAGTTCCCCCTCTTCCAGCTGGTGAGAGAGCAGTGCAAAGTGCCTCCTACCCTCTTCCAGGCTATGCATAATGCATCCACAATAGCTAAGCTCCTGCTAAGTTAAAAGCCAGGGACTGAGCTAAACTCCACTGATGAGTGAATTGTTTTGCTGCCAATATATCATTTAGCCAGAGCCAGCCATTCTTTCTTCTGACTTAAACAAAAAAGAACGGCGCTAGTTTTTGTTTGTTTTTATTTTAGGTGGAGATTTCGGTTGTAAAAAAGGCTACTCCGGATTTAGCTGTGAAGTGACAGCTAAAGGGGAGAGAGCTCAATCAGAAATGGTTCCAAAATAACACGAATGTTCTGTGAAGAACCATCCTGCATTGAAAGGGGGGGTGGGATAGATAAACGAATAGTTCAGTTCTGCCCTTTATCGGTGTCAAGGCTCCTTCCCCACTCTGAACTTTAGGGTACAGATGTGGGGGCCTGCATGAAAACTTCTAAGCTTAACTACCAGCTTAGATCTGGTCCGCTGCCACCACTCCCAATGTGCTAATTCCCTTCCCTGGGTAGCCTTGAGAGACCCTTCACCAATTCCCTGGTGAATACAGATCCAAACCTCTTGGATCTTAAAACAAGGAGAAATTAACCATCCCCCCCTCCTTTCTCCCACCAACTCCTGGTGGATCAAGATCCAACCCCCTTGGATCTAAAAACAAGGAAAAATCAATCCGGTTCTTAAAAAGAAGGCTTTTAATTAAAGAAAAAGATAAAAATCATCTCTGTAAAATCAGGATGGAAAATAACTTTACAGGGTAATCAAACTTAAAGAGCCCAGAGGAACCCCCTCTAGCCTTAGGTTCAAAGTTACAGCAAACAGAGGTAAACACCCTAGTAAAAGGTACATTTACAAGTTGAGAAAACAAAGATAAAACTAACACGCCTTGCCTGGCTGTTTTACGTACAAGTTTGAAATATGAGAGACTTGTTCAGAAAGATTTGGAGAGCATGGATTGATGTCTGGTCCCTCTCAGTCCCAAGAGCGAACTCCCCAAAACAAAGAGCACAAACAAAAGCCTTCCGCCCCCACCAAGATTTGAAAGTATCTTGTCCCCTTATTGGTCTTTTGGGTCAGGTGTCAGCCAGGTTACCTGAGCTTCTTAACCCTTTACAGGTAAAAGGATTTTGGAGTCTCTGGCCAGGAGGGATTTTATAGTATTGTACACAGGAGGGCTGTTACCCTTCCCTTTATAGTTATGACACGCCCCCCAAATCACAGATAGTGTTGGACAGCCGATTCCACACTGGCTGTGATTTCTTCCTGGAGCTCTAGGAGAAAACAGAGTTAATAAGACACATGCACCTTTAGACATACTACTGATTATATAAAAACTAACAATATGTCCCACATTCCAAGAACAATTTTTAACCAGTTGATTCCGGGAAACTTTCCTGGGAGAGTGCATCAGCCACTTTGTTAGAAGCTCCTGAAATGTGTTGTATTTCAAAATCAAAATCTTGGAGAGCTAAACTCCACCGAAGATGTTTTTTGTTATTCCCCTTGGCGGTATGAAGCCACGTTAGCGCAGCATGGTCGGTTTGTAGTTGGAAACGCCCTCCCCAAACGTATGGGCGTAGCTTTTTCAGCGCGTACACAATGGCGTAGCATTCCTTTTCACTGATTGACCAGTGGCAATCAGTCTGAATATTTGCATCATCTTTGGTTTGATTAGGGTTTAGTTTAATTGGTCCAAACTGTTGCCATTGCTAAGACCAGGTCTGAATCTGTCTGACTTTAAGGCAAATGCTAAAGACAACAGATTGGGGTGAAGAGTTGCAGGACAGAAAATGATTAATTGGTCTAACACTTTTCCTCAAGCCCTTCTTTCTGATTTGATCTCCTAAGTGTGTTTATGCTATTTCCTCCAAATTTAAATGTATTGGCACTGATTAGATGAAAATCTTGATAAACAAGGATTATCTACCTTAACTAAGATTTTAAAGTCCCAATGTACATGTATTTGTTATAGAGTTGTTAAACAATACTGGGTTACAGTTACCAATAGTCGTGCTATTAAGAAATACACGTCTGTGACACCTTAGTTTGTCTGTGTGCATTTTAGCTGGAGAATGATAAAGTGGTACTCTCTAATCAGTTCAACAGTTAGACACTGATGGATTCTAAATCACACTTAAGCAAGATGGTAAAATAAACATTTTTCTGACATGCTTCAGTCCCTTGACAACCTCTAAATGTATTGTTGTTCTATGAAAAGTTCTGTATGACTGAACCAGTTAGGTACAGTTGTAATAACAGTTCTGCTTCTGACTGTAAACATAGCCTTGTTGTAATTCTTTTGTTTGCTATTTACCTTTCAAAATTATTGGAGAGAATAAGGATATATAAACGTACAGATTTAGTTATCAATACTAGAATCTCTTACTCTATGTTGTAGAATGGAAAAATCTTTACCACTGTATCCTGACTTATTGGTAATTTTTATACACTTTGTAATCGACACCTTTAGAAAATATTTAGACTACAGTGTGTGTGGTAGGAATTTAACATGAATTGTTATATAAAGTAATGTACTTTTTGACTAAAATAACACTTTGAGAGGAGAAATAATAGGTTTTATAGTTTTGATGAAGTATATAAACAGTGCAATGCTTGTTAAACAGATGAGGAATTCGGCCCACGTGCATGAGCAGATACAGTCTTACCAGGCACTTCAAGAAACATGCTGTTTGTTTGACATTTAAAGGAAGATTGTAGAAAAAGCTATTTAAATGGGATTTTTTTTTTAATATAGGATTTATCTTTCTTGGGTAACCAGGGTTTTTACTTTGGTGGTGGTCTGTCTTAAGCATTCTCATGAGTTTCATAGGTAGAAGAAAACATTAATTTAATTAATGCTATTGAATTTGTATTATAATCCTTCAAATGTAATTTGAGACTCTGAAGAATCTGAAAATCTGTCATTTTGTGGCCTGCCTGGCTGATTTAGCCCCCTGGAGGGGTTCTTCCTGTTGATGACTAAGTGTATTTTCAGGGATCTAACATTGTCAGAGGGGCCCTGCTGGAGAGAACAGTGGAAATAATTACAAATTATATTTTGGTGTAGGAACAGAATATTGAAAAGGGCAACCCGAGACCTCAGTAATCTGAAGGGGGAGACATCCCTTCTTCCTTTGAACTTACGCAAACGCCTGCTGTCAGCAGGGCTATAATAGTGTCTAGTGAAAATTATTTGGGTAGTCATGACTAAGATTAACTTAATATCCTCTGGTGACACAGATTCCATATCATCATTGTGTCAGGATATATTTCTTTCCAAACTGTTAGTAATTACTGTGTTTGTCTCTTTACCGTGATCTGTTTAAGCACAATGGGCTAAATCCTAACTTGTATTATACCCTATAGAACCCCATGGATTTTAGTGGAGTGCTTGGGGATAGGGAAGGGCAAGATTTGGGCAAATGTTTTAACAGCTAATTCTATAATACATTTCTCAAATTTATGTTCAGTTCTTGAACCAGACTCTGAACAGATCGCTCTGTGTGTACTACTTCAGAAAAATACTACTTTCTTAAATAAATGTGATTTGTTTTCTTTTGCACAAGCACAGACTTAGGTAGATTTCTTTTACAGAATACCTTTCTGATATCAAAGTTATACGTTCTAATTTGAGTAACCGAGGAGTGTCCTATTTCAGGTGTATGTATTTCCTCTTTAATAAAATACTAAACCATTGAAGCACAGCTTGTCTTAAGTAACTCTGTATCCTACATATTAGAGTGAAGTGTTTCACAGTTTTAAAGTAACAGTCACTCTGGCCCCAATTCAGCAAGACGTCTAGCTTTCCGGACAGAAGTAGCTGTGTTGAAGTCATGTGCTTCAGTACCTTGCAACATTGGAGCTTCGATCACAAACATTGTCTGAAAGTTTAAACAACACAACACGAGTTCTGACTTGAATTTAAATAAGGGAGACTATTAATGGATACTGATGTCCATGCTTCCAAAAGGATGTTAACAAATTGGAAAGGATTCAGAAAAGAGCTACAAGATAATTTGAGGTCTGGAAATCATGCCATATAGTGAGAGAGTAAAGAAGCTCAGTCTATTTAGTTTATCTAAGGCCTGGTCTACACTGGGGGGGATCGATCTAAGTTACGCAACTTCAGTTACGTGACTAACGTAGCTGAAGTCGACATACTTAGATCTACTTACCGCAGTGACGACACCATGGTAAGTCGACGGCTGGCGCTCCCGCGTTGACTCCGCCTGTGCCTCTCGCCCTGGTGGAGTACCAGAGTTGACAGGAGAGCACTCGGCGGTCAATTTATCCTGTCTAGACTAGACACGATGAATCGACCACCGCTGGATCAATCACTGCCCGTTGAGTCAACAGGTAATGTAGACAAGCCCTAAGAGAAGGTTGCAGTAACTTGATCAGTCTACAAGTTCCTACATGGGGAAGAGATTTCTAATAGTAGAGATCTTTCTAATCTAGCAGAACATGGCATAATGAGGTCCCATGGTTGGAAGCTGCAGCTAGACAGACTCAGACAAAAGGTAGGTACATCTTTTTAGCAGTGACCGTAATTAACTATTGGAACAATTTATGTAGTGATGTGGTGAATTCTCCATCACTGTTTTTAAATCGAGACTGGATGCCTCTTTAAATTATGCACAAGTCAAATAAATTACAGGCTTGAATCAGGAATCACTGGGTGGCATTCTATGGCCTGTGTTGTGCAAGTGGTCAGACTACACCAGTGTTTCTCAAATGTGGCTACGTGTGGCCCTCAGAGGTTTTTCTTGTAGCCACAGCCTCTTGGATAGTGATTGGGGTGGGGGGGAGGGGAAAGAAGTGGCTCCTCCCCTGGGGCTGCCAACAGGAGTTGGGCCCTGCCCTCTGCTGGAGCCACAAATGCCAGAGGAGCAGGCATGTGTTCCCCACCTTCCCAGGAGTGGTGGGGCTCGGGCTTCAGCCCTGGGGTGGTGGGCACCAGGCTCTGGCCACAGGGCTCCAGTCCTGGGCTTACACCCCCCCCCCCCCCAATCACCACTGGCCCCTACTGCCTCCCTACCCACCTCTCCAGCCACAGCTTAATTCTGGCTTGCCAGCACTGTGTAAGTGTGCTATGAAAAGCGATAGTTTTATGTTTGGTTATCACTTTTCACTGCCTCCCAGCTAGCTAGGAAGTCTGCTGTGAAAAGTGATACATACGCAATAGTTTTCACAGCAGCAGCCTTCCTAGCTAGCAAACCTTAATAAATAAATGCCAAAAAACTACAAGAGTGTGCAAAGCTATTTTGTTTAGGTCCCGTAAAGAATAAAGACAACTGTACATTATTTTTATAATTGAGTCTGAAAAAAACCCTACATAAATAAATTACAATGATTTTGATGTGTGTATGTGCATATTTATTTGTTTTTCCTAAAGTTAATTAAGTGTTTTAGGAAAAATTGCCAGAGCGGCCACCAGCAAGAGTTGGTGGCT